GGACAGTGGTTGGGACATGTCCAGAGGAAGGACAGTGGTTGGGACATGTCCAGAGGAAGGACAGTAGGTGTACTGGTAGAAGGATGTTAGAAATGCAGCTGAAGGAAAAAGACAGATATATGGATTCAGTTAGAGAGGACGTGGAGGTAGTTGGAGTGATCCAAGTTCATGTTCAATCATCCAGGTACATAATCCAATAATGGTCAATCAGGTCATTTGGACAGTTTATTTTTTGTGGAAGGACGTTTCTCCCTCTATCCAGAGGGCTTCATCAGTCCCATTTCATCAGCCCCAGTCCACAGTTCCACAAAAAAGACACTGTTCAGATGACCTGACAGAGCGTTAATGGGTAGCTGGGGTGAGGACACAGAGGACAGAGTGAGATGGAGGAGGACTCGCTGTGGTGACCCCTGAAGAGGGAAAAGCTGAAAGAAGTTGAGTGAAAATGTTAAATGGGAATCCACTGAGTTTATTGTCCCACCAGCTCCTCTCCTGATCTCTGAAGATCCCACCGAGCTGAGACTCTTCAACCATCAAGTCTCTCATTTCTGAAAGTCGTACGTTTGTTTTTGTGTTCGTGGCTTCTTGTTTTGTTTGTTTGTGATTCTACTGAAGTCCATTAGAATCAGTAAAAAGCCGTCGGCTTGTTCTCTCTTGTAGTGAACTAGGCCTCCGACCAAAACCTGTCTCTGAGGACCTTCATGGGACAGGAACTGTTGTTTCATTGATTTGAATCCAGAAATACAAATTAGCTCATCCAGAGACTGTTTAATTGTATCCTGAAGTAATCAATTGAAAGAACACTCTTCTTTTATATTATCATCACTATTTTACAATATCTTGATAATCAAAAGTGTGTTTAGTTCATACCATTTCTAAATGTTGAAGTGAACACTCATTTTAAATCAACTGTGAAACAGTATTAATGATTTTTAATCCTCATTTAAATTAGAAATCAAGTTAAATGTCTATTTTACAAAGTAATTATGCATTTTTGATCTTCTGTCTAAATGAGAAGTAGTGATGTCGGTCAAAAGTCAGAGAGAAGTTATTAGAACGAAGTGTCGTGTTTTTAAACCTAGCAGACGGTAAACAAGAAGCTACTGGCCTCTCTTCCTCCCACTTCGCCATAACATGTCTTCTGTCTGTACGGGACGTTTCTAAAGCATTCCTGCTCTTTTCTTGACTTGTAATGACCCTCTGACATTACTAGAACCCCCCCCCCCCCCTTGTTGGTTGTTTCAACCAATCAGGAAGTCCTGAGGTGACCAGAAGTGAGAACTCTTTAAGAATCCACACTTCCTGGAACTTTGGAGATCAATCGGGTCTGTCAGTCAGTCTGTCAAGTCTCCTGAGCTTGAGGAGCTGATGAAGTCTAGTCTTGAACTTAGTCTTCGGAGCCTGTGATGGATCCTTCCATATCTGAGTGGAACCTCTTACGGACTCACAGCTTGCTGTGTATTCCCCCGGGAGATGAACGTGTTTGTTGAACGGAGTACCGTCACTACTTCGGACGATTCTCAGCCATCCTTACCGGAGACGCTGAAAGGTCGCGTTGAAATGGACTCCTGTTCCTGAGCGGAGGTATCCCGTCTAAGGTAACGAGTCGCCACGCGCCAAGTGTACCGAGGCTGAGCTGGGGTCGGATGAAGGGTGCCGTTCCTAGTCAACACACATTCCTGTTTATCCATCTTTTCTCTCCATTTAAACTCCTCCATTTCCCATCTTTAAACTCTTCTACTTTGCCAGTAATTAATCTAGATGTCTTCAGAAATGTCTGTTGTTTTTATTAAGTAAAACGTGCCAAGTTTTATTAATCAGAACCAGATCAGCTAATCAAGTGTACAATGTTTTGATATTAAATTTTGATTCTGTTCAATAAATGACCACATTTATTCTGATGGGTCAAAGAAAATAACGTCTCATGTCACTGATTAAACAACCTATGCACAGTTACCTCGGTCACATGGCTGTAATTTAGCTCGAAAAAGAGAGAACCCGTTATTTAAATATAATTAGTAGTGAAGGTACAGCAAAGCTGACCTTGACACACTACACTGTTCTGCGTGTGTTGTGTTCAGGCTCGTGACCCGGAGTGTCTGTTCTCCTTCCATACCGGGCCAATCCAAGGCCTGGACGTGTCCAACGAATCGCACCTGATGGCCACGACGGCTCTGGACCGTGAGTCCTCACTCGTCTCCTCACACCGACTGTAGAAGTCCAGACTGATCCTCTTCCTCTTTGTGTTCAGGTTCTGTCAGAGTTTTCGACTTCCTGTCCAACAGAGAACTGATCTCGAGCCAGTTCACTCAGGGTGGAACGACTCTCAGATGGGCCCCGTCTTCGGTAAGTGCATCGTTGTAGAAGTGAACCCTTGAAACAGGAACCCGAGCCGACCTCTGCAGCCGCTGTGTTCAACCTCAGGTCCACCAGAGCGGAGGGCTACTGGTGGCCGGGTTCGAGGACGGGGTCGTCCGCTTCCTGGAGCTCTACAAGCCTGGGACGCTGCGCGGCGCTGCCGAGAGGAGCCCTGAGACCGCCAAGCTGCGCCTCAGAGAGGCCTTCAAACCTCACAGTGCCCCCGTCACGGCGGTGGCTTACAAACAAAACGGGCTTGTCCTCGCCACAGGGGTGAGTCACGCCAAGATTTATTCTTCCACGTTACAGAGAAACAACAACAAAGACACGTTTATTGACTCTGACCAGAATTTATTTACACTTTTTAAAAAAGCTTAAAGGGATCTCGGACTACTCGCACATATCGGCCTAAATATGTTCAAAAGTGATTAACTTATAATGTTTAATTAATTAGCTCTGGAGCTAACGGTATTCGCTCCGGAGCTAATGCTATTTTTATTATTATTATTATTTTTAATCAAACTTGTCCTAAATGCAGATAAAACCAACGGGATGTTTTTTTTTTTCAAACATGAAGTTGTTCCCAGCAGTTCTTCCTCTGACTTCATCCTTTAATGGTGCCCCTATTGAGTTTGTTGATTCCTATAAATATTTGTGTATCTTAGTCGACTCTCATCTCTTTTAAGCTCCACGTGGAAAACTTGGTAAAGAAACTGAAAGTTAAACTGGGTTTGTTTTTCAGAAACAGATCCTGTCTAACCCTGAATGTTAGGAAACACCTTGTATCTGTGACTTTCCTTCCCTCCATTGATTACTGTGACATTATCTACACGAACGCTCCTACAAGCACCTGCAGATGTTGGAATCCAACAGTAGAAAGACGTTTCCGGAAAGAGGGCGATACGTCTTTTTACAAAAAAGAAACTGTCCAGATGACTTGACTGAGCATTATTGGATTTGATACCTGGATGATTGATCATGAACTTTGATGATCTGCTAAGTTCATGGCAAAAACCAACACAGACATGTTCCTGTTTTTAGTTTTTTACACCGCCTTATAATCTAGCTGTTTTTTCGCTACTTTTTCCTTTTGACTGTCCTCTTGGTTGCCATTTTATTTTAATTTGTTAAAAAAATAATTGTATGCCTTTTTTGTGACTGTCTATTGTTGTTGTTGTCACTCTTTGTTAAAATCAGGTGTCTCTTGTAAATGAGTCCCTGAGGCTCAGTGGGATTAACCTGTAGAAATAAAGGTTGAATGAATGAATGAATTAGTTCTGGAGCTAACGGTATTAACTCTGGAGCTAATGCTATTTTTATTAGCGCTGGAGCTAATCAGTGGTTAATTTGAGCTGGATCCTGCCGGAACAAGATCCGGGAACTCCCCCATTTTCACCGTGTGCATTCTGGCAACTGTTTGTTCGGCTCCGTCAAGAAACCGTCCATCATTAAACAGGGGTGGAGGCCTCCGGGTTCAACTGTCCCCCTCTTACAATGCTGTGATTGCTGGTATCACTCAGCCCTCTGTGAACAGTAAACAGCCATCAGTGTGCTAATGATCCATTGTTAGGCTGATGGTCCTTCTTGAGCATGTGATCAGCTGGTTTTGGTTGTCAGCAGCAAACTGGTTGATCCACTCTGAGAAGGTGCTATTTAAGAGACTGAGCTGAATACAGCACCTCAGACTGAGGAAGTCCTCAGGATGAGAGACGAAACATTTCTACATTTTTTTGTTGTTTTGCTTTGTTTTGTTTTTTTGAATGTCCAGAGGACCAGATTTACCTTTTTTAGATACTAATTTTTAGATTTTTTTTTTGTCTCTGAAAGAACTTAAACATTAAAAACTGCATGACTGGTAAATCTACAGGATAGTCAGACAAACAAAATGGACAGAGTTAAGAAATTAATTAGTTTTTAAGAATCAGAGTAAACTTTATTATCTGTGAATGTATGTGAATGTTTCTGTAAAGTGCCCTGAGACAACTTTGTTGTGATTTGGCGCTATATGAATAAACTGAATTGAATTGAATTATCTTTGCACTGAGATACAACGAGAACACGTACGTACAGTCGTCTGAAAGATGGACGGAGTGCACGAAGCTGCTACTACAAAAAGCACGGCCCTCTTATTCTTATTCAGAATAATATTTTGCTTAGATGAGAAAAGGGAAGAAAACATGAGAGACGGTATAAAAAAAGATCTCACACGTCTCTGTTTTTATATTCATGACTTCCACTTTGTGCTTCTCCCTCGCAGAGTTCAGACGGCACCGTGTTCTTCTTCATGGTCGGGGAGAAGTACAACCCCATCGGGTTCATCCAGGTCCCCGGTCCGGTTCAGGCCCTGGAGTGGTCTCCTCACGTAAAGCCCGAGACGTGCCGCACGTTCTCCTCGCTCAGGTAAACGTCTCAGTGATGATTTTACCCGTTTCTCTGTTCCACTCAGAGAGAAGATAAGCTGCTCGTCCTGTGTCGGAGTGGACATGTGGTCGAGGTCCAGAGTCCCGGTCCAGAAACTGTGGCGTCATCCAGAACCTTCCTGCTGTCTGGTCTGCCCCGCAGGTTCTTCAAGTTTAAGAGCATCAAGTCTCAGATCAAGGTCAGGACGAGGTCCACGTTGTTTGTACCTGTGAGGTTCCGTCCGGTGGTTTAATGATTGTTTCTCTCAGAGAGACGAGGAGATCAGAAGACGTCAGGCAGCGAAGGAGAAGAGGAGGAGGAGGAGGAAGAGGAAGGAGGAGGAGGAGGAGGAGGAAGAACTCCCTCCTCTCCACATCCCAGACCCTCCAAGTCCCATCTGCTGTGGGTTCTACTCCCAGCCTGGACAGTTCTGGCTCTCCATGGTACGTACAAGTAGAATGAAAAAACATGAAGTTCTCCGTTTGTTCTTCCACCTGAAGGTCCTGAAGCTTCACAGAAAACTAAACTCTCCATTCAGGGTTGATTTTCCAGAAGCTGGAACGTGTTTAAGAAACGATTCAATGACTTTTCTGTCCCTCAGGGAGGCTTCGACGCTGGTTTCCTGTATCACTGTCGGTTCTCTGAGAACCAGGACCAGGATCTGGTCCAGAGACAGGACGAACCTTTTGACTTCAGGATCCTCAGTGACACAGAAGATGATCCTGTTTGCTCCATGACGTTCAGGTAAGCGGAGAAGAAACCATTTGAAATAATTAACGATCATTTAAAGAAGAGTTAAGAGTCGACAACATGCTCAGAGGCCTCTGCTGTGTCTCAGGAGACAGATGTGATGCTGTTGTTTGTTTGTCCTGCAGCTCCAACAGGCAGCTGCTCCTCTGTGGGATGAGCTCTGGCTCCATCAGGGTTTACCCTCTGCAACCCGGAGACCATGGCCTCACCTCCATGCAGGCCTGCTGGTCTCTGAGCGTCCACGACAACCAGTACGGACGCCTTCGACACGTGCGCTTCAGCCACGATGAGCTGTTTGTTCTGACGGCCGGAGACGACGGAAACATCTTCTCCTTCTCGCTGCTTCCTCCTGAAGAGCTGCAGAAGCTGCCGAAGAAGGCCAAGGTTCCTTCAGCCAGGGTGGTTCCTCGTTCTCCTTATCAAACTTTTTACAGTAATAAACAAAAAAAGCTTAAACGTGTCAGAAACGTGAACATTTGTCTGAAGATCATAACGTGACGTTTGAATCATTTTGTTTTTTCTTAACAAATCGTTTGTTTCTGTGAAACTCAGGTTGGTGTTGAGAGCGAGACGATGGCTCTGGACATCGAGAACCCCGCAGCCTACAGGTGAGAGTAAAAAACTAAATCCAGTGTGTCTGGATGATGTCACTTCCTGTCCTGTGTCCTTTGTCTTCAGCCTGGAAGCAGCCAAACAGAAGCTGGAGAAAGACCACCTGCAGCAGGAATCTGAGCTGAAGCTCTCAGAGGAAAAGCGGCAGCTCGCTGAGCTGCAGAGGAAGTACAAACAGGTTCTGATCGACAACCAGAAGCTGCCGGAGCAATTTCGCCTCACACCAGAGGTACACCTGACCTCGTCCTCACCACTGTCAGTAAAATTTCAGCTACAGATGATATGTTCTAGAACAGCGCAGCTCCAGGTGGCTGCATGTTGGAGCAGCTCTGTTACTTTCATTCTGAGATTTTGCTTTTGGAAACTTTAATTCCTCTTTTTCTGGATGTAAATCACATGTTTTGGATGATTGTTTCCTCTGGTATCAGATGCTGTGCAGCTGGAAGGATTTTTACTGAAACTTTTTTAGTTTTGGACATTTGTTATGATGCATAACCATGGCAACAAGGCAGTTTCTACAACCAAACAGCAGCTGATTAAAATCGCAAAAGCTCAAATAATATCTCAACTACAGCCCCAAATCTCAAATGATTTGAAAGGATGTTCTGTGGATGCATTCTCATCTACCTGCCAGCTGTGCTCGAGTGCCTGACCACTGAGATCCTGGAACTAGCAGGAAACACGGCTCATGACAGCAGAAGGACAGGATCGTCCCTCAGCACCTACAGCTGACTGTCCACAGAGACGAGGAGCTCGGCAGACTGCTGGGAGGAGTGGCCATCGCTCTGGGAGGAGTTCTGTCCAGCATTCAGGCGGTCCTACAGCCCGGGGGAACCGAGAGGTCAGCCGAGTCTGCGTGGACGGATCGGACAGCATCTGCAGCCAGTTTCTTGGGATCCACTGTGGGATGGACCTTTACAAGAGATCTTTCCTGTCTACAGCATCAGCATCTATAACATCTCTTAATGAAATGAGGATAACGGGTTACAACAACAAATAATTTCCCTTTGGGATTAATAAAGTATTTTTGAATTGAATTGAATTGAATATCATCGGGGTTGTAAAAGCACAAAATGACCTGGAAGGCTCAGTTAAGACGATTCAAGTTTGTTTTCCTGTGGTGTTTACATCAGTGACCTGTGTCCAGGAACTGTCGCTGGACCCGCATTTTAACGAGCGGTTCGAGAATCTGAAGGCCCAGAGGTTGGCAGAGGTCAGGAAAGAACTGGCCGGGGATCTGGAGCGCAGCAGAATCGGACTAAGGAAAATGCAAAGGTACGAGCATGAATGGCTGCCTCAGAGCTGCTACAGCTAACTGCTACTGTTATAGAAAGTACCAGGTGTACTTTCTATATTCCAGGTGTACTTTAGTCCAGCTGTACATTTTATAGTCCAGCTGTACTTTCTATAGTCCAAGTGTACTTTCTATAGTCCAAGTGTACTTTCTATAGTCCAGCTGTACTTTCTATAATCCAGCTGTACTTTCTATAGTCCAAGTGTATTT